TATATATATATATATATATATATATATATATATATATATATATAAGGTTCCCGACAGTTGACATACATACTTGCTTTTTACAGGACGAAGTGATTTTACTTCGCCATCATTTGGTGATTAATCATCCAAACATGATAAAGTTGTACGGATTCTGTTATGAAGTTGGTCATCTTGGCGTTGTTTATGATTTCAATCCATTTGACTCCGTTTATAACCTCGTTCTTAAAGGTATTCATTTTCTTTTTATTCGTTTTTCGTATCTGATTCTTTTTGTTTTTGTTGAGCCTCTTGCTTGACATGTCGTAGGTGTTCAAATTGGGAATGATTTTTTATGCTGAATGTTGTATTGAGATTTTCGTAGTTTCAACAATTATGCCGATTGACAATGATAATAAGACACCGTAATCGAAGTTTTGAGTTTTATACGCAGATGATTTCACTTGGCTGCAAAGAATCAATGTCCTCGTGCGATTTGCTTCACTCCTTGGTTTTTTGCACACAATAAAGAGTCCTTACAGACCTTTAACAGTTCGCAATCTTGACTGTGCTCATATTGTTCTTGACAAGGTATGGTGCAAGTGTTTCAATCCTAGAACTGAATATCCTTTATTAAACGAATGTAACAATTATTAATTCAATTCTTTCGCAGGATTATAATCCAAAATTATGTGATTTTGGTCTCGTAACTGGTGGGATTTTCCCTGATAGGGCCAAATATAAATGCTGTCGTGTGATTGGAAGCTATGGCTACTTGGATGTTGGTTCATGGTTTGAAGGTACTTCTGTTACAACTTACACTCTCGACTACTAAGAATCGAAGTTTTATTTTACAGCGTTGATGTTGATTAACTATGAGATAAACCTTCCATCATATGTTATTTTTGTCCATAAGTGATTAACTTGTTTGTTAATAATTGGTTTGTAATAAAAAAAATGGTAGTGTAATACATGTCTGCATTTTTTTTTTTTATCTGATGAAGAATAATATCGCGTATAGAAATAAAAGAAAATTCAATTAGTATGTGTATATCAAAGATTAATTAAAACTATATATTTCAAGATGTACGTGGTATGGATCATATGGGGGGCTGTGAGGGGGTTGTTTTGCATGGGATGTTGTTATTCGGTGATATTTTAGGAAGTTTTCTTGAACAAAAGTCCGTTTTATAAAGAAGATTAAAAAAAAAAGGCCTATGGAAAAGATGCAAAATGCTGCACTTGAATGTTTGTAAGATGCAACAAACTTCCAATATCGATTTTCTCATCTCTTGACGTGCACTACACGGTTAAATTTGGATTACGCATTCTTTTTATGAAATCAGCATATTATGTGATGGTAACTCATTGCTCGCGTAATCCGTAAGATAGATTCAATGTCAGGATTGATTTTGTAACTGCGAAACATAGAATGGTGTCTTTAAAATATTATGGCCAGTTTTTGTGTTTACTATCTCTTCTGTGGGGCATCAACTTTTGAATTAATAGTCCAGTGGTAGATTTGAAATTCTTCAATTTTCCTCCCTCTGTATCATTTTTCTTTATATTAATTTGTTTGAAACTGCAAGTCACTTAGAAATTTGTTGCAGATCATGCTCCGGATAAGCCAGATGTCTTTGCATTTGGGAATATACTTTTGAGTTTGATTTCAAAGAGAGTTTTCACCGAACAAGACCGGCAAAATCTTTCACCATATGTTTTCAAATGGGCCTACACGAAGTTTTTGGAATATAAATATGGTCCAGATAGTGACTCGGATAAAGATGATTCAGATCGCGACTCCTCGAAAAAACATGATTCGGATCTTGACTTGAAAAATGATGATTCAAATAGTGACTCCTCGAAGAAAGATGATTCAGATCGTGACTCGAAAAATGATGATTCAAATAGTGACTCCTCGAAGAAAGATGATTCAGATCGTGACTCGAAAAATGATGATTCAGATAGTGACTCGAAGAAGCCCAAGTTTTCGCTCGTCCACCAAAGTCTAGTAGAGGAACCCGATTTTGATCCTTCTGATGGGCCCAAGATTACTGCACTCGGAATGGATTGCACACATAATGATTTAGGTAAGCGCCCCACAATGAAGCAAGTTCTAAGTTTTCTCCTCAATCTCGAAGTTGTGAAGAAACATGCCACAATTTCGCTTGTGTGAAAATGTCCTCCGATGGTAATTGATTTTTGGATTGACTTAGAATTACTATTGTCTAATTAATTTATCGTATTGAATCAATGAATTCTAGTAGAGGTACAATTATTGGATTGACTTAGAATTACTATTGTCTAATTAATTTATCGTATTGAATCAATGAATTCTAGTAGATGTACAATTATTGGATTGACTTAGAATTACTATTGTCTAATTAATTTATCGTATTGAATCAATGAATTCTAGTAGAGGTACAATTATTGTTTAGTAAAAGGTATTTTGTGTATGATGTGTTTGGTGTTTCAAAACAACCGTTGTTTTCAGTTGGATTTTGTATCTTTGGTTTTTTACTGGTGTTTGCTTTCGATTGGGTAACGCTTGTAAGAAGAATATACTTAAATTCTTAGGATTATTACAAAAAATGAAGAAAGAAAATATAAAAAACAGTTTCACATAATATTTCCATACAAATCAATTACATTTAAAAAACAAAGTCTTTAAATGAAAATTTAAAAAAGAAATATACATAGGAAAAACATATAAAACTAGATAAGTTTTTATTACATTAGATTTCCCAAAACAGCTATGACTTCATCGATGGTCGGACGAGAGTTAGGATTTTCTTCGGTGCAACGTATGCCGAGTTCGGTGACGGCTATTGCATCATTAACCGTACACCCGGACTGGAACAATTTTTTGCGCACAACATATTTAATTCTTGAGTTTTTCATGTGAATTCTGGCCTGAACAGAAATATGGAGAATTGCATTTTTTGTATTCTCACCATATTTTACTTCATGTTTTAAACTGGACCCTAGACACAATCTACCAAATATATTATTTTTCATGATTAATTGGAGAATAAGAACTCCTAAACTGTATAAGTCCACCTTTTCCGGATCAATAGTTCCTATTAAAAAAAAAAAAAAGAAGAATAAATAAGATGATTAATATATATGTCTAAATAAACAAAATAGAATAAATAATAATATCTTTTTATTTTGCTTTCATAATAATATTATAATAATAAATGAATGAGTCAAATTATTGGGGGCTTCTTTCACTTTGCTCAGTTCTCCTCCCGTCACACTGTATTTGAATATTCCGTTCACCGGAGCCCGAATATTCCGTCTGGACTGGAAGCAACCCTCCCTCCGTCCTTCTACTTGTACTTCTTTCAGACAATCCACCACCAGTCAACATTTAGAACGTTAAACACCTTTCCCCTCTTTTTTGACAAATTTTACAATTAGGGTTTCTTCCAAGTTGCTCATAATTGAGATTAGGCCGGCGTTTGAAGAAAAGGTAGCAATCAATTACTGACGGAAAATATGAAGAAAAGGAGTGGACAGCTCATTTATTTAATTGCAGTTTCTCAAGTTTGAGGAAGGCTAATGTGTGGCTAATGCCAAATGATTTCCGTTGAAAATGAAGCTTGATTGATTTGGTGGCTGGATTTGAGGAATAAGAAAAAGTTGCTTGCTGCTGATTCCAATCTTACAGAGGCAAACAGGAAAGCTTTGGAATTATTGGAGAGGAAATTCCACGAGGTTGAAGCTCGATTTTTTAAGAGATCTCGTGAAAAGGTAAGTGAACTCAGTAGGATGTTCAGAGAGAGAGGCTGAGTTGGCAAATTTGATCTTGAGTTAACTGATAAGCTGAGCTCCAGAGAGAAAAAGAAAACCAGGAATTTGAATTGGAAATCGAAGAAAAAAGGAACTCTCTTGAGGAGGAGACTAAAATTAAACACTGAGAATTTGGTTAAGAAGGAGAGCAAACTCTCAAAGATGAAAGCTGAATTAGTTAGAAGGAAATTGGAAATTCAAGCTTAGTGTCACTATTAATGAAGAGAGGGAAGGAGCATCAACCGTTTGTTGATGAATTTAGAAAACACGAGATATTTGCCCTCTAAGGAAAGTGATGATCTGAAGCAAGACTAGAAGAATTTCGATGATAACTCACTACAGATGTGCAACAAACTAGAACAGGGGAAAAACAGAAATTGAAACCTTCTTTAGAAAAGCAAAATGAAAGAAGATCAAATTGCCACCGAGGATTACGTCAGAAGAGAGTTGGAGGCTCTTAAAATTGCCCAAATGGTCTCGATCGAAAGAGTAATCGGGGCAGCTAACTTTGACGAAAATGCCGATGAAGCAAAAAGTGGATTTGAGTGAAGACGTGGTGAGTCGTAGTACAACACCGGTGATGAAGAAAATGAAGACGATGAAGGAGAAGAATATGCTCCTTTGGACATTTTTCACATCGCTTACAAAATTGTAGTTTTTGTCTATTTTTCAGCACACACACTGGTTGGTGTACTAGGGGATTAAGTTGTTTTACGGAAAAAAAAAAAAAAGATTTAAATTAATTATGACTTACCGAAATTAGAAATCTCTCTTGGTGTGTATAATTCGTTTAATGTTGGCAAGTCCTTTCCTTCCTTCCTCGCGGACCCGAAATCGCATAAATAAACATTGTCCATCTGCAGTACGGAAAACAAGTTATATTAAAACAAAAATTATAACAATTTTATAATACATACATAATGCATATTGGATTTATTTATTTATTGCGTCGTCAATTAAGATGTTATTCGGCTTGATGTCCGAGTTGACATATCTTTCTTCGACGATCGCTTTTACCGCATAAGCCACTTGCTTTATGATATTCAAAGTCCGCGCCCATGATAGCTCATCTCCTATCAAAACAATAATACATTTTACAAAACATGGATAATACAATATGATAAAAAATAAAAATAATTCTTTTTTTATAAAGGAATTAGCGCTATTACAGAGCAAACTATTATTGCAACCACATGAACTATTAGTCTAATATATTAGGATTCCAAGTTTGTATAATGATCTTAAATTCTTACAAAAGATGAAGATTTAAATTGCATGTTCTTAAAACATTTAAGATTTAAATTGCAAAAGATGCAGAACTCACAGACGAAGACTACAAATAAAATAGTGGACCCACTCATTGCTCAAACAAATGGCTAATAATATTATCACAAATTATAATTTGTTTGCATCTAGTTTAAGAAAATAAAATAAAAATGTACCTTCTTCTTTAATAAAATCTTCTAGATTCCTACGAACGTAGTCCAAGACGAGACAACAGCTTTCCGAATCACGACTCGTCCCTATCAACGAGATTATTTGCGGACATGGTTTAAGTATTGTAAGAGCCTAATAAGAAGACAGGTTTCCTTAATAAAATACGATATAATTAGACACATTTGTGCGTGTGTGTATATATATATATATACACACACACATATATATATATATATATATATATATATATATATATATATATATATATATATATATATATGCTCATTTAATCTTTTCTCAGCATTTGCTTTTTGTTTGCAGTTTTACCTTTGTCTTCATTTTCTTTTTAAGAATTCTGCAGAGAGAGATGCGATAGGCAGCGATGCTGCTAACCTCAGCTCCTATAATTACAAAATTGCCCTTCATTTTTGTTTTTCTCTCAAAAAGGAACGCGTTCCCAATCACAACATTTAGAAAAGGTAAATTACAGCCACGTCCCCATGGTCAAATGTAATTATAATAAAACGTCTTATTTTTTTGAAATTACACCCAATCCATGCCGTTTGTAAGTTTCTTACATTCAACCCCTACAAAAGGGTGTTAATGTCATGAATCTACAAATTAGAAGGAGGTGGATATAATTAATAATTATGTAAAAATGAGAGGTTTTCTGTAAATAAATCTTATATCTCAAGGGTGATTGTAACTTACCCTAAAAAACTCCATTTTGCACGATCAAATAAAAACTCCATTTTATGTAAATGGGAGTATATTTTGTATATGTATTAAGGTAACACAAAATTGATAATCCAGTGTAAATTTAAACATATCACCTTAAAATTTACACACCGGGTTGCATGCCACCGTTAATTTAGACTTATCACCGTTTGTTTAGTACTAACGATGATGATTAAAATTGCATTTTATGTACTTAGAATATTAATAGCAAACTATTATACACAACAAACTTAATAATAATAATAATAATAATAATAATAATAATAATAATAATAATAATAATAATAATAATAATAATAATAATAATAATAATAATAATAATAATAATGGTTTATGGCAGATGAGCACATTTTATGGGTTTTTTTTTAGGATAGTGTAACAATTTTATTTTTTTTCAAATTAGTGTGCCAAAAACATCATTAGAATAAAGTTACAATCACGGAAACTGTTGTTCACGAATGTGGACGTGCCGGAGTGGTTATCGGGCATGACTAGAAATCATGTGGGCTTTGCCCGCGCAGGTTCGAATCCTGCCGTCCACGCTTTTTTTTTATTTATCTCTTTTATGTAGACTTTTTGATTTACAAATTTTGGTATATATACATATATTCATTTGTACTGTCACAAATATTTTTTTATCTCTATTATGTAGACTTTTTGATTTACAAATTTTGGTGTATATATATATATATATATATATATATATATTCATTTGTACTGTCACAAATAAAGCCTAATTTCATTTCATAAGAAGGTAATTCATTTTTATCTAACGAAACATTGATTTCTTAAAAATATAGAAATTGAACTCAGCTCCTTAAACTAATATGTTAAACTACCATTACATTTACACCACTACATAAAAGTGATAAAACTTTTAACTATTTTCTTAAGTTCCATGATCAATAATTTGATTTGATTCGAGTAAACAAGTATGGTACTATCGACTTTCTCCACCTGCCAAGAAGTTTGAGCATATTGTCGGTAACATCAGGGGTAAAATTGTCATCTTCATCTTGCTGATGAATATTCTCAGACGTGCGAGTCAACCAGGCCAATGCTTCTTCTATAGCAGCATCTTTCTCAGCTAGAGTTTTATTTTCTTTGGTTTTCCAACGAACTACATGCCTTTAAATTCGGCTAATGTCCTAAACTCGTTTGTCTTAAGACAAGGCAACTCTCTTACTCATGATTTAGCTTCTGTTTCGAATTATTATTTTAAGGAAGCTTCTTGTCTTCCACCTAATTTGCCTATCTATATATGCCTAATGAAATTGTTCTTTTTCATCAACAACAACAAAAAAAAAAAAAAAAAAAAAATTACACAATCTTCTGCAAAAACTAAGAAATTCAAAAACCACGTTCGTCAATGAGGTCGCCGATGAGTCCACCAAATGCAAAAGTACAACAACAAAAAGAAATAGAATACACATTAGCAAAATGCAAAATGCAAAAAACAACAGCAAAATGGATAAATTAACGAGTCCAAGTCTTGGCATCGTGTAATTCAATGCCATAAATAACATCATTCCTCAGTCCCATAAATAACATTCTAACATCATTCCTCAGTGCCATAAATAATAAATCAGCAGCTATTTAGTATTTTTCACAGGGCCGAAGCAGCATTTTGTTGTTCGCTCCGATGAAGTCAGCATTCTTCTTAACGACTTCGAGTTTGAGTAAAGCTCTAAAAACCTGCTTCATTGCAGGCCGTTCGGATTGGACTCTATTAACACATTCTAACGCAATCATAGTAATCTTGTGCCCATCTTCATGACAAAACTCACTTTCATGCACTATACTTTTATGGACAAGCGAAAACTTTGCATCTCTCATTTCACTGTACGATTCAAAAGCTTCACATTGTCCTAAAGCCCATTCGTAAACAGTCGGTAAACCAGATTGCCTGTCTTCTTCGGTGTATACTCTCTTCGATATCAAACTTAGCAGTATCACCCCAAATGCAAAAATGTCTTTTTTGGTCGAGCAATCATCTGTAACAAAAATTCAAGATTCTTTTAGATATGTAGTAATTCATAAATAGGATTAGTGAACTTAGAAGGAATGATCATAGAGGCAGCATAAAAATGAAATTTGGAAGATTGTAAGAAATAGCAAATCTGTTTCTTCACAGTATATGCATCAAGAAGATGCATGAATCAGTATTAGCTGTCAGCAATTCGCGACTTCTTTACGGAAGTGAAAAGGACTCGCAATATCTAAAAATAGATTTGGTCGTTGTAATGCCAATTAATTCGATATATAGATAATCTATTTAAACGAACATTATTTACCGTCACTCAGTGTCCCCTTTTCATCCTAAATCAGTAAAATACTCACCAAAGATTCATCACACCCTCAACCGCTCGTTTTCTTTTATTTTATTTTTCTTGTGTGTGCCAAAATATGCATGCATGCAAAACGAACAGGAAAATTAGGGGTAAATGACTAACAGGAATAGGAAAGTGGGAAGACAAGCTGCTTGTCTTGTGTTTGCAAAAAGTTTTGAAGTGTGGCAAAATTTCCCCACCGAAAGGAATGCATTCTTTAGTTTTTGGTGCAAAATGATAGCTCGATAAATGTTCAACAACTTGTAAACAAATCAATGCAACTGATGGGGTGATAACCAATCAGAATTCGATGTGTAAGGTTACGAGTCAGTTGTTAAATCAATGCAACTGATGGGGAGAATATACATACCTTGACTGGATGCACTAACGTCGATGTAGCCATAGCAACCCAATGGGCCTGAATACGATCTCCTATCGGGGAAAAGTCCACCACATACGAGACCAAAATCGCACAGCCTTGGAGTATAGTCCTGCATAATTAGTCAACTACTAATTAACTGATTTCTTCATACTAAGTATGATAATTAACCCGAGGGATGTGACGCAGACATCTAAGCAAACCTGATCAAGCACTATATGAGCAGCATCAAGATTCTGAACTACGAAAGGTGGGTAATATGATGAAGGGTTTCCGACATGTAGAAATTTGAGAAGGGAAGCCAATCCAAATGCCGTTTTTATCCTTTGCAGCCATGTGAAACTATCTACGAGTCGAACACATTTTCAGTTATTTCAGCCATGTGTAAATTGTGTCAGGGTAGCATAAATGCACAAGCTACGTAAAATCTAAAAAACAAAAAACGAATCTTTACGTATGAACTGCCAACTTTCGAAGCGTAATAACATCTCATATGAGAGAAGCAGTATATGAATTAACCCAAGATAACGGAGATATCAAGCCAGTTGACTATCAAGTAATACGGCTAACTAATTGTTTTACACTTTTACTTATAATCTTTCAATTAGCTCTCTCGTTCTCTTTCAAAGATCAATGCTCAAAATGATGTCAAGGGGTTACAGTTCCAGAAAAGAAATTTTCAAAATGTTTAATACGCCTTAAAGATGTACAAAGAATGCACTATAGACAGTTATGCCTATATATAAGTTAAAATGACGTACGGCTAAGCTATAAGTAGAAGGTGCTATCCGATAAGAAATCTCAGAGAGGGATAGAAATCCGATACCTTTAGGGATGAGGTTAAAAAGAGAACCAAAAGGCTTCAGTAAATAAGCAACGCTGATATGTTCACCGTCGCAGCAGAATCCATACAGCTTTACCATGCATGGATGCTTGATCACCTTTTCATGACGAAGTAAAACGAGTTCCTCCTGTACAAGCACATGCGAAACATGTGAAAAAGTCCTAAGAGATAAAAATTTTTTCCCAAAGTTGAAACAATATCGGAATTGCAAACATACCATTAGTCTAATTTTATGATCTCCAGGCTTATAATTGTATATTTCTGGAACTTCCCATATCTTCACCAACAAATTAATTGGTTCGAAAGTTCCGAGCACTCCATGGTACATTTTGCCAAATTGGAAACGGCCTATATAGTTTCTCTCACCTAAGGTATCGGTACATTCAACCAAGTCCTCGTATTCAATTCTTCTAAAATTTTCCGGCTCCATATCTAGGCAAAGTTCAAGTAAAAAGAAAATTGTAAAACAAAATCAAATTCTGTTGGATCAAAATTATACTATGCATGAAGCAAAGCCTTCGGTAAAAGAACTTTCTTGCCAACAGAGCGATATGTATAACAAGGTATTATTCTGATACAACAAAAGTCAAGACAGTCATAAAAGATCGTCTGAATATGTATATAACCTACGTGGTTCAATTTTCCATATCAGTAAGTATTTCCAGATAAAATCACCAAGTTGCCTTTAGAAGTATCTACCGTTATAAAATATCAAAAAAAAATCGGCACAAACTCTAAAACGGGAGTCTTTGTGGATAAGTCGAAATTATATTTGTGACTAAACAAGAAAAAAAGTAGCGAGATAATTCACTCTTCAAACTTAACCAAGCTCATATCTTTTATAGCATAAAAATTCCGGCAAGTACACAAATTACTGAAAATTCTGGAAAATGATACGTTTACAGATAACTGTTTCCTTAACGACTTTCGATGTTTTTATACTTATTTCACCAATAGATTGAGCATAACAGGATCCTTTGAAAAAATTATGCTACTGTATTTATAATATCTCAAAGAATTGTGACTGATTACTAATACATTTGAAAGAGATCCCTAATGGAAAAGTATCAATTCTAAGTCCTACAAATTTTACTAAGCATGTTCACTATAAAGATTACAGCTTTACATTTACTATAAGCATTGATTGCAATTATTTAGTTTCAGGCTGAAATTTCAGATATATAGGCTAAAATTTACAAATAAATCAAAATATAACGAAAATTATGAAATCTTTCAGGGATATTAGAAGATAAATACCAGTATTAAAAGTATGCGATGTAAGCAAATTTGTAGCTTCAAATATCAGTATCCAAAAAAGAGAGGCGAATTTGTCGAAAAAACACTAAAACTCGATAAACGAAAGCACAACCCCCAAAATCAATAAGCAGAAAAAAATTGGTAAAACCACATATATAAAACATAACTCATCAGAGAACAATGGAATAAATTAGGGTTCGGAATATTCCATCTTCAACCAAATCATTCAATTAGACGAACTAAAAACATCCTGCAACTAAACATATAACAAATAAAATAAAAAATTGATACAGTGAGTACGCCGGTAAATCTCACCGTGAACGATCACCGGAGTTGGAAGATTCCGAATCTGATTTGAGGAGAGAAGCAAGAGGAAAAACAAGGGTTGCAGGGTTGCAGGTATGGAGGAGAAGTAGAAAAGGAATAGGTTTTGGAATTATGAGCATGCCGTATATATATATATATATATACTTTATACGTTAATGAATCCTCTTTGATCAAAGTTTAAAACTGGTAATTTCTTATTACCTAATATAATATGGAAGGGTGAATTATGAAAAACTCCCTAAACGTAGGCTAAATAACGAAAAATACCCCATCTATCTGTAATAACCAAAATCCTCCTCAGATTAACTGTTGATCGAGTTTTATACCTTATGTTGAATATGTGAGAAATAAAAGAAAACATCTGAAATTGTGTAGAGTTTATCCGAATATTAAAAAAAAAATCCGTGAAAAGTAACACTGGAAGAGGTTGGTGTAAGACATAAACAAACCCCCAGTGAGATTTAGGTTATTACAGATATATGGGGGTATTTTTCGTTATTTAGCCTAAGTTTGGGGGATTTTCGTAATTTACCCTAATAAGAAATTAAGAATATTCACCAAAATTAAAAAAATAAAAAATAAGCATAAATAGCAGTAAACCCCTTGAGGTGAGGTGATATATAAAAAAAAAAAAAAAAAAAAAAAAAAAAAAAAAAAAAAAAACGAACTCTCATGTTTTGGCTTATTACAACCACGCCCCTCAATTATAAATCTTTTTTATGCATCTATCTTTTTCGGTGTTAAATTTAGTGGAATCTTCTAGATTTTGTGAAATATTCTCCATTTTGTACCTATTATAACTCATTTGAGCTCCATATTTTTAAATAAAATGATCATAAGATGTTGTGTCTTTTGGCTTATAAAGATCTGGGTATCAGAAACTGTATTTTTACACAAAACGAGTAAAACTAGAGAACATTTATGAACTCTAGAAAATTATAATCACATTCCCAACTTTTCAAAATAAGTTCTTAAAACCAATTTAACTCATAATTTATAGCTTCCACTTTTACAAACACCACCCTAATCCGATTTCTCGTTTCACTGTCTCCTCAGTCCTCATCACATTATATTATATTTCTTTCTTTCTCTATTACATGTTTTTGTTTCTATATATCACTATTCGTCGTTGACTCATTGGTGAAATTCACGTTATTATTGTTTGTAGAAGTTAGTGTTGTTATTTTCTGAAAAAATTATGGAATATTTTGGGGAAAAAAATCAATACTTTCCGATAAATATTCAAAAATTTCTAAAGCTTTTGAAATTGGAATGAATTTCTAGATTCTCAAATTTTCAGAATTGAAATTTAAAATAGTGTACTTTCGAAATAAATGGAAAATTTTCTAAAGAGGTCGATTCGGATCCGTTCCATCCGAGTTTCACATCCTCTTACAGTATACTCTATATAACAATTATCCACTTAAAGTATCATTTGTAACATTTACCTCCTCAAGTACCATTTAATTTGTATTTTAAAATTGAGGTTCTTTGAGAAAACCTCTCAATTACTTTCTTTAATGGGGAGAGGTCCAAATTTTTTTGCTTCATTTGATAAAAATCCATACTCACTTACAACCATATTTTTTCCAATTATGTCCCCACCCATCACATCATCACACTATGTCACGCTACCATATCAGCCGTTTCCTCTTTTTTCTTTTCCTTCTTAATTATTATTATTTTTATTTTATTTTATTTATTTTAATTTTTTTAAAACTTTTTTTTTACCTTTTTTAACTTTTTTTTTCTCAGTCTGGTGTATTGATCGACTATAGAGCATAGTCGATTAAGGAAATTTCTATAATTTTTTTTGTTTGATTTTTTCTTTTCTTTTTTCATGCCAGGTATATTAATCGACTATAGAGCATAGTCGATTAAGGAAATTTCTTTAACCTTTTATTTTCTTTTTTAATTTTTGATTTTCTTTCTCTACCAGTTATATTAATCGACTATGATATTAATCAACTGTAAAGCGTGGTCGATTAACGAACTGACTATTAAAAATAAAAAAACACAACTACATAAAAACGAAAATCAACATTTTTTTTTACAAAACAAATATTATACATAAATTGTAATTGATTTATACAAATTGTAATCAATACACAAAAATAAAATAAAAAAATTAAAAAATGAAATCGAGTAACCTTAATCGACTACCAATGCAGTCGATTAACACTTTAATCGACTACCAAATTAGTATAGTCGATGAACTTAATCGACTACAATAAACGTAGTCGACTACAAAAACGTAGTCGCTTAACCTCTGCGGAATCTACCAAAAAAATCCTAGATCTGCTCCCATCGACACCAGTAACCAATACCAAGGCATGAAAAATCCCATCCGAAGCTCTTGTCTTTCATATCTTGCTAATTCACATTTAATCTTGCATATATTTTCCCAAAATCTTTTGCGAGTCCTCTTTAGTAGAGGAGATAACCTCTTTGAACTAACAATTTAAACACAATACTGCAAGGCAGAACTTAACATGTCAAAATGATCTGTATGTCCAAGGAAATATATGCAATAATTTGGGCATTGGTTATTTACTCATAAGAATTAACAAAACATTGGCATAAAGCAATGCAAATGTAGAGAAATGATCAAACCCAAAAATACAAGCACAAAAGCACCCAATAATCTCACATGTAAATGAAATGAAATGAACAAACACAGTCGACTAGAACTAAAAGTCAATTATATGCAATTTTGAGTATTTATGTATCCATTTTTCTGCATTTTCACTGATAAAGAGAAAAAATAATCTAGATTCCAAATAATCTTATGTTTAAAAATTAGCTAGAGAATAATCTAAGGGAGCTTTCTCAAATTATTATTTTTTGGAGGGGAGCTACTTCACATGATTTTCCCACATGAGGAGGGTCTTGCTAATTATCCCTTTTAAAATTTGATACCTTAAAATTTTCTCTTTTATTGGATGGAATAACTAAAATGAATAATTGATTTATTTTATTAAAAGTATCTCATAAAAATACTACATTTTAAAATTAAAAAATAAAATCTTGCGTTAGATACTTATTTAAGAATATAACATCTAATTGTTGTTGGATCAAATAAAATTTTAAGTTATTGAAAAAAATCATAGTAAATAACTAATTATATAGTGTTGTGTATATAGTGAATAATAACAACTAAGAAATCATTTTAAATAATTTGTGAATTCCAAATAACCAATTATTATTTAATTTCTACACCATTACTTTCATAAAATGTATATGAAATATATTTATTAAGAAATCAATGCATAATAAATAGTAATCCTAATTATTTTAATTTATTTTAACTCATTAGTTTCTTAAAATATATTTTCATTTATTATTATACATTATACTAATTTTTTTTAAATTCAATAATTTAATTTTAGTTACTTTTCAATTTTATACAATACAATAATTATTAGATTGTTATGTTATTTAATTTATTCTACCAAAAAAATATAAATTTTTAAATATTGCATTGATTTTTCAATTGACATTTTAGATAAATTATTAAATTATTGTATAATTATTCCATCTAATTGGAAATATATTAAGATTATTATCGTGTTTTAAATTTATAAGTTACAAAATAATTGATATTGAGGGGTAAATATTACAAATAATTCTTTAAATTGAATAATCTATATTTAAGGGGTGCAGGGTGTATTTAATCCTTTTTTTTTTGTTAAACAATAAACATTATTTATAGAAGGGGCTTGCTATTATCAGTGCGGTTTTTTCCAGCTACAGTGCGAAATAATTCATTTGTCAAAAAACACTTTAACCTTTTACAAAATTCTCTCAACCTCCAAATATTTCGACTTTCGTAGATCGTGATTTGTTTTCGTAGAAATCAGTTAAAACCCAACGATTATCAAGATGGCCAACATCGATCCCGTAAATGAGGTAAAAAAATACGTTTTAGTGTGATTTTTTTCGATTTTCAGTCGTTTCGTGTAGAATATCACGAAATTATTCAAGTCATTTCGTGTTGTTTTGCACGAAATGAACACTTTATTCGTGTTTTCCAGTCATTTCTTGTACAATACTACGAAATTATACCTATTATTTCGTGTAAAGTCACACGAAATAGCAGTAAAACTGTTTTGTTATTCATTTCGTGCAGTACTACACGAAATGTATACATATACTTCGTGTAATTTTACACGAAATACCTAGTATTGTTATTAATTTTTTTTGTGCAAGTATCTAACCTTTTTTTTGTATTTACGCAGCCATATGACGACAATTTGTATTTTGATCCCTCGGTTTTGGATCAAAATGAATATGAAGATTTCTCTCACTTCTTCCAAGTTGATATTGTGTTCGGCAGTAGGGAAGAATTAATCAACTGGGCGAAAGAAACTGCAGTTAGTCATTGTCACCGTTTGATTTGTCAGTCTAGAAGGGAGAATGCACAGTACATGACGTGTGACAAATACGGACATGGCCGACAAACGAATATCGATGTGGAAGATCCTAGAAACTCAGGAACAAAAAAATGTGGTTGTCCGTTCAAATTGATTGGCAAAAGGTCAAGGTTTGATGAATTATGGCGGTGGACTGTCAGCGATGGCAGGCATAGTCATCGTCCGACTTTGTTTCCTCACGGACAAGGTACGACTAGTCGTATAACTCCACAACAGAGAGCAAGAATTAAAGAATTGCAAAATTCTCACGTGAAGCCAATGCTGATCATGGATAGACTGAGAAAAGATGATCCGACGATACAAACCTCTATGAAGCATGTTTACAATGAGTTGGCCAAGATTAAATCTGAGGAAATGGAGGGCATGACTGTTATTCAGTTTATGATGCATAACTTTTAAAAAGGCGAGTATCGATATTGGCATCGCGTCGATAGTGAAACGAGCAACACGATTACAGATATTATGTTTGCATGTCCCGAATCTATTAAGTTATTACGGTTGTTCCCGTACGTTATATTGATGGACTGCACATACAAAACCAATAAGTAAGTAAAAATTACGATTGTTTAAATTATGATTATTGTGTTTTAATGTCTTGTATTGTTTAAATATGTAAAAACAACATTGTTGTAGGTATGGAATGCCTCTTTTGGAAATAATTGGGATAACTCCAGTTGGGAGGAATTA